ATATTATATATTATAAATTAACAATCGTAATCGTAAAATCGTAATGGTATCTGTATCAACGATGATCTGTGATGTGATGGTAATGCAGTGTACATACAAATAGTTGCAACTCTGATTTTGCCGTTTAGTATGTTTCTTGTGTTTTTGCTTTCGTAGGCAATTGAAGAAGAGAACGTCAAATTCTCTGATTGAAACAAAGATAAATTGAATCAAATTGTGAATGGGATTTTGGATAATATTTAACAAAAAATTATTTAATTGTTTCAAAATGTGTATAACACCATTTATTTTGTAAATTAGTAAATAGGACCTAAATGTATTGATTGCAAAAATGGACTTGGAGACGTGCGACGACGATAGTTTCTATGGTGGGTGATACATATTACCGCTACGGGTGCAAAAGCCGTATTTGATTCATCCTTTCGTTTTGCATGTGACAAATATTTGCATAGCTGTGTGAAATGACAAATTGTGGATCGATTCATTTAAAGTTATCTATAGAAAATATAAATATTTTTAAGTTTAGTACTTCAGCTGCATTTCTAGAAACTGGTCATATCATGTGGTCATATACATATGTATGCATTTATTTTCAATGATCACATTTGAACATATCACTATGTCGTAAATATACATTTATTTTTTCTGAAGTTTCAAGAGTGAGGTAAAAGACTTACAAAATATTTTACTGATAAGATGAGCATGCTGTTGAAAAAATTGGGAACAAATTTTATCTGAAACTTTTTTTTAGACTACCCTATAGTATTTATTGAATATTCCTTTTAGGCAATTTCGACAGATTGATGCCGTCAACGGATAACTATACATTTGATGATATTGAAGAAATTCTACGTTCTACTGATTCACATCTAGATTCATCCATTGACTTGAATAATCTTAACACACATAACGTGCATGATTTCGAATTACCCTTCGATGTGGACATTCATAACTCTTCATCGCAAGCTGCATCGACGAATAATGAATTTAATTTTGCTTTGCCACTATCCTCCAACGAATTACATAGCCCTGAAATATGTAACTCCACCTACAAGTCACAGCGCACTTCGTCCATCTCATCAATGGATGAAGACAGCTTTAACCCAGATGAGTTCATCAACCTTCTGAAAAACGATGACGTAAAGATGAATTTCTTTAACGAAAATGAATTGAGACAACGTAATACGCCCTCTCCTACGGAAAGTTGTAGTAGTTCTGGTGGTAGTTCGACGAGTGGAGTACAGAGCGATGTTTCATCAATAGCTTCACAGGCTAAAACTTATACGCATGTTAACCCCCCCTTAGATGGATTGAATGGCATGAAGGAGGAAATATGTGATGAGCATACCCACACACCTGCTTTAGATATAAAAAAAGAGAATTGCTTTACACCAATAACAATGGTATCACCTCCAGTAGATCATCAACCAACTATTATATTACCAGCGATGAATACAAACAATGTAGGCGTTTCATTACCATTAATGGTACCACTGGTTCCGTTGAATACAACTACCACCAATTCAGCTACCCTCCAAACAATTCAGACACTGCAGCCAGGTGCACCTATTAGTGTGCTATCGGGAACAATGCTCCCTGTTAAGACCGTGCCAATAAAACCTATAACACAAGTAATCAGTCAAAACAAAGAGTCAGTACAACCAAAAATCGAACCGAAATTGGCCCCCAAAAGAAACAATGATAACTCTAACAACGCTGTTAAAACACCCATTACACCATCATTAAATGCTACAAAAGTTGTTCCTCCCATAAACGCAAAACCCAAAACTGTGTTCCTAACATTAAATGACTATAAAGCATTAACGCAAATAAATGGTAAAAATGTTAAGGGTGTTGTCACAAATTCACCTAAAATAATATTGAAAACCGCTAGTGGAAAAGTTATTACAGCCAACAAAATAGTCTCATCCGGCAACGGTGCGTTAGGCATGCATTCTAATTTCGTACCTAAAATTGTTAAAACCAACAGTGGACCAGTGTTTATTAAGCAACCATCGTCAAAAATTACCAACTTAGGGGCGAATACCAACGGAACTTCCAAGCCTTCTTCTACAAGCACCGGTCCTAAGAGTTTAAGCGTTTATAAAGGTCTCATTGACGAGAAAATGTGGAAGAAGCAGCAGCGCATGATCAAAAACCGGGAATCTGCTTCTTTGTCTCGCAAAAAGAAAAAGGAATACGTGGTTTCTTTAGAATCACGCATCAGCGACTTAGAAAAGGAAAACTGTACACTGAAAGGGGTAAGCACTAATATCTTACAAACATTTAGAAAACTAACCTTCTTAACCGAGAATATTGTGAGTTATTAATGTTCTAATGTGATTTATGGAAACTTTAACTAGTGTAAAAGTAAAGTTTCAACAAAATGTTGTACCCATACACACATCTATATTTATCATTTTCAATTTTAATTTTTTTTTTATCTCACTTGTTCTTCATAATATTTTTATTTTTTTACATATTTGATACATTTTCTAAGGAAAATTCATCATTACGTTCCCAATTGGTCGCTTTGGCACAATCTTGCCAATGCAAAAACAGCAACATAAGTGAATTCGTTTTAAATACTTTGGATATCAATGCAAAAGTTAGCGATCAACATGTGAAAATTGCCCCGAAACTAAGTGGAAAAAGTTTAAAGCAGCGAATGACAGCAACTAACATTAAAAAGAACATAGCGATTCTCTTCGCTCTGGCTTTTATGGTATCCTTAAATGTGGGTAATTTTCAGAATTATATGAATAAAAACCACATTGAAAATTCAATTGAGACGGATGCAACTAATCCTGAAGAGCCAGCTACAGGCCGACGCCTGTTATGGGCTGAAACGGAAAATGAATATAAACAGAAGTTAAATAATTCAAAGAGGGAAACGAAAATGGATGTCCCTCCACTTCATTTCTTGCATCCAGTTAATCGATCTCGGAGTGCCCTGTCAAGCGAGCAGAATGTCAATATAACAATTAAAGAGTTACCAATGACATCCGCATCAAAAAAGTGTGCAAACGTTTCAAACTATACCGAAAATCATCGTTTGCATAGTAATCTGCACAAATGGATTGACGTTAACGACTACTTGAACTTGAGTTTGTATAAGGAAAATGGCAATGGATATTTGGACAACTCTTTAAGCTTTAGGAAGTTTTCTCCGGATTATTATGATAGGAAACCCTTACAACTACCTCTACAAGAGGATGTTGCGACAATTAATATGAAACGCAAATTTATTATGACACCACCATTGGTTCAGAGCAAAAAACCCAAATTGGAGACACCACAGGCAAACGAAATTGATGACAACTCGGGAAATGATAAGAACTCTTTAGATATTTTCAAGCCCAAAATTAGTGAGGAATACCTACGTTTGTTTAAAGGCATAAAAAGGCAAGACGATACATTCTATGTCCTATCATTTAACATGGATCATATATTGTTGCCGGCTTCAGCTTATAACAAGAGTGCACGTCCGAAAATGTCACTAATGTTGCCTGCAGGTGACCCATCAGTGAATGGCGATATATTGTTAATGCAAATCGATTGTGAAGTAGTTAATACGACTGAGTTGGAGTTGAAATCATTTATGATACCGGAGAAACTTCGCCCACAAAAATTTGCGAATAGCAATTATAATCCAACTCCTAATCCAAATGACATGGTAAATAACGAGACTCGCTCAAGGGAGGAAAAGCGAAAGCCCAAAGCAACAATGCCGGAGATGCCCAAGCAAAAGTCGCCACCGAAAACATATTACATGATGGGGCCCCGATCGGCTGCTGCTGCGGCGGCTATGAAAAAGAAGCCTACACTTGTGAGGCTAGGCAGCAATGAAAGCATTGAAAGTATTGTTGAGAAAGCTGACACAAACTCAACGATTTTCTCGACAAGAAATCAACATTAATTTTTTAGTTATAAGTATACATTTTTGTCAAATATTAAAACTAACCGAAAGTTTAATGATCGTAAATATTTAATATTTAAGTGTCAGTATATACTTTGCTCAAGATGCATACGTTTTCAGCATTTAAAAAATGTGTGTACACCTGTGCGTACATACTTTCATTTACACTTTGCAATTTCATTATTTTATATTGATGTAAATATACTTAAATGATTTGTTCAAAATACATTAATAAACATATTGTAGGTTTAGTAATTTTTTTTGTATTATATATATAAGTCATTCGAAATCTGTTCATAATGAAATCTGCAATTCGGTTTGTGCCGTTCTTTAAGTTTGTTGTAATGTATTGCTTGCATCATATTTGCCCTCTTCGATTTGCTTTTTTAACTCTTAGCGTAATTGTGTGCAATAGCTAAATAAAAATGTAACTTTAGAATATACCATATGTTGTATTTGTAATGAAAATCAATTATAAACTTTGATTCAATAAATACCACCTTTTTTAAAATAACATTGATTGTGTGTTTTCTGTAGTAGAACTGAAAATGATAAGGGTTAGTTCTGTAAATTTGAATCTCGATTTTGTATAAATTAGCTTTTCAAATAAAAAATTTGACTGGAGGCGTGGTGGTTCGGAAGCCTCTCCAGCTACATATCAGAGTCCTCTAACATATGAATATTATAGGTGCTCAATGAAATCTAGACAAGACATTCGACATTCGCCAGAAATTGATTGTCATAAAAGGTATCTAACGATAACCACAGAAGTCGTCTGGTGTTTCAGGCCAAAGAGAGAAGGGTGTTAAATAAGTTTTTTTCACAGGGCATGTGAATAATTATTAATAGGCGTTGAAGGCAATTCATATTGTGTACAAGTAGAAGATTAACCTGATCAGTATCTACCAGTATCTAGAAGCAACGCCATTCACTGAGTGGATCAAAAGCTTTTGACACTGTCAATTACACAACTCTACTGTAGGACATCGACAGAACTACCCTCCCTCCAGGATTGAAGAGGTGGGCCATGAACTGCCTGAGCGGTCGGCAATCATCCGTAATAGATAAAATAGAAAAATCTAAACAGAGAAGAATTAAACAGGGGGTTCCGCAGGGTGTTGTCCCCTCCCCGGTACTGTTTAATTTTTACATCTCGAAACTCCCACAGTCACCAGAGGGAGTTTCCATAACCTCGGACGCTGATGATTGCACGATATAGACGTCGGGCAATGGAATCGATGGCAAGTGTTCAAAGGTAAACAGCTATCTCTCCGAACTTTCTCGTTTCTTCCCTGCACGGAACCTAACACTTTCCCCCCCCAAATCCACAGCGACCGTATTTACGAACTGGACAACCCGTTCTACGTAACGGAATTGACTCAGATTTCATCCGACCAAGGAATGTTTTTTCGCGATCTAACCCCGTTTGGATCGATGAGTGCTAATTTGTGTGAGTCGTCATAGGAGCAACGCCTTGCAGCATGGTTGCTCCGTATCCTCCTGACTCGTGCTGCCATTGAGTCCAACCCGGGCCCGGAGGGGCTGTGTTTGCGCAAAAAGGCTCTATTCAAACCTCGGTCAGGTGGAATACATGCAATGGATGGAGTCATCTTAAGACCTGCTCGGGCCTTAAGACTAATATGGAGCGGGCCACGCGTTACGTGGCCTATAATTATTGCCTACGCAATACTGCGACGCTAGCCTCTACGGCTGTGCAATCTGCACACAGTTCGCGCGCTGCGCCGCTTTTCACCTCGAGAGGCCAACAGAGGACCTCCACGGTCCCCAGGAGCTCAAACAGGCAACATAGCTCCCACTCTGACTTGTCCCTCCCAACCTTCATGCCGCTGCAATCCTCGTGCGAGAACCAATCAGCAATTCTTGGAACGTCACATCAGTCAAGTGCAACTCTTGTGCTGGCTGGTGTCACTTCCCTGAGTGTTCCGGCCTGCGCACCACACGTGAGTCGTACGTTGCCCCATGCTGGAGAGTCTGCCACCACAACAGTGGCGTCGCCAACCAACACCCCAGTGCGACAACCGCCCCTGCGGGTTCTGCAGCTGCAATAAATACCACCCACACGCCCCTCCCTCACCCCCAGGATCACCTACGGACAAACTCGACAAACCCGGCTACTTCAGTTTAACTGCAATGGACTCCAGAGCAAGATGGGGAAGATAGTTGCACTTATGAATCGCAGCATATGCGTCGGCGAACGTCAATTCCGCAAGGTGATCGCAGCAGCTACTCCTCGCTTCATCCCAGCTGGACGAATAGCGGAAATCCGCCCCAACTTCCCAGCCGAAGCAACCGTTTTAGCTAACGAGCGCGACACCTTACGCCATGCCGATCCCGGGGATCGCCGAATAAAGAATCTCAATTTGGAGATTCGGCGTAGGGTAAACTAACATAAGCGGACGAAATGGATAGATCACTTGAAGTCCTGTAACCTCTCCACCGGTGTGAGTAAGATATGTCTAACCCGAAGAGACACGACGACTGAGTTGAATTTCAATTCAATGGTCATGCCTCTTCGGACCCGAAGAAGTGCGCGAGCTATTTTAGCCGGCAGTTTACACTGCACCCTTCGGTAAACAAAGCCAAACGATGTGTTAACCCACGGCTGCGTAAAATGCCAAACGACTGCGCGCCACTTACTTTCACCGATAAGGAGGTTCAGGGTGTCATCAACAAAACAATATCCTCAAAAACCATTGGCCCTGATGGAATCAACATGCTAATGCTAAAGCATCTAGGCTCGACGGGAGTAADATATCTCACCAAGGTCCTCAACCTGTCGCTGACCACTCTTCAAATACCCGATGTGTGGAAAGTCGGAAGAGTGGTCCCAATACTGAAACCTGGGAAACCAGCCAACAGAGGAGAATCTTATCGACCGATAACACTCCTCTCCCCGACCTTCAGTCAACACCTGAGCCTAGCCAGCCACCAGCCTGGATTCCGAAAAGTGTACAGCACCACCACAGCACTTAGCGTCATAAACGCTCAGATWATTCGTGGCCTCAACCAGAAACCACCCTGTGAGAGAACGATCCTCGTAGCGTTGGATCTGTCAAAAGCTTTTGACATGGTCAACCACACAACGCTAATGCAGGACATTGAAAAAACTACCCTGCCTCCAGGGCTAAAGAGGTGGAGCATTAACTATCAGTCATTCGTACTATTTCGAGGTGAAACATCGAAACTGAGAAGAATTAAACGTTGGGTTCCGCAGGGTGGTGTTCTCTCACCGTTACTATTTAACTTCTACATCTCGAAACTCCCACAGCCACCAGAGRGAGTTTCCATAACCTCGGACGCTGATGATTGCACGATATAGACGTCGGGCAATGGAATCGATGGCAAGTGTTCAAAGGTAAACAGCTATCTCTCCGAACTTTCTCGTTTCTTCTCTGTACGGAACCTCACACTTTTCCTCACCAAATCCACAGCGACCATATTTACGAACTGGACGAAGGAGTGTAGACTTGAACTTAATATTGCAGTTCCGACCGTCAACAACCCTAAGATTTTAGGTGTAACCTTCGGTAGTCTATGCTCCTTCTCTCGAGTTGCTCGAGAGACGGGAGTGACCCTGGCGCAACTTCGTTCTGGATATTGTAGCAGGTTAAACTCCTACTTATCCAGAATAGACCCAGCAACGAATCTCCGCATGACAATGACCACCTCTTTGCATGCACGCACGCACCAATATGGTCGCTTGGATGCAGTGGTACGCAGATGACGAAACTGCATACCTGCCAGAGCACTGCATACCGGAACACGACATGACGCCTCTTGATGTCTCTCGTCGAACATCTACATAGTGAGACGCTTAAGCCCAGTTAAGGAGCATAATGAACTCCTCCCCAAGCAGTTCCTGCTATGATTTTTACGCAGAACGTCGACGATATCGAACAGTATGTCGAACGGACTGCTATTGACCGCGATTCACAGTGGAGCTATCGACACCTTCACCGACTAACTTCCAGTGAATGGCGTTCTTTGAGTCAAATCACCACCCATTGCAGACGAAGAGCTTGAGTTGATGTGAGAAACGCGAGTGACCTTTGCGCAGCTTCGTTCTGGATAGTGTAGCAGGTTAAACTCCTATTTGTCCAGAATAGACCCCGACATATCCAACATATGTATGTTCTGCGTGCAATGAGTCTCCGCATGATACTGACCATCTCTTTGCATGCCCCACTACCCCATTTATCTAACACCCTTTTCCCTTTGGTCCGACCCCATAGAAACAACACGTTTACTGGGCCTCCCGCTAGCCTCCCGCGGGGATTATATATCTATTAAAACAATAACAACTGAGTGGACTCAATGAAGATGTTACTAGCTCCACTTTAAATTTCTGTTCGTTGTGTGTGTAGTGTAGCGGTTGGCAAATTTGGTTTTATCGTCGATGTAATGTTGTTGTTGTTGTAGCTTAAGAATTCTTCGGAGTTGATAGTCCTTGGCCAGATAGCTAAAAGCTTGGTTTCTGATATAGCACTAGTGGAAACTGACTCTTACCTAAAAGTGGATTAGTTCCTACGGTTTTTTAGTCGAGTTTTCAGCCCAACTCGAAATACTAATATTCTAGATGCTTAACAAAACAGATAATGACATAAGACCACAGTGTGGCTTGTGAAATCAATAAGTCGTAGTCGAGTATTGGAGTATTGCGTCAATCGCCCATACTGGGTTGAGCCATTACTAAGCATAAGCAATGAAATACGAGTACTTATTGAAATAATAATTGCTTTACCACAAAAAAATTCCGCTGGAGTGAGTTCAAAGAGTAATCTTCAGTATTAAAGGCGAGTAGAAGTTTCTTTCGAAATTTGAAATAATATTTTGTAGAGGATTATTCACATGGTATACGCCCTTCCTCATAAATAAACCCTATTTATTGAACTTCATCGGTAATGGCGGCAAGCGTTAATGTTACTGATATACTTATACTGATTTACAAGTATTTCAAAAGTTTTACGAAAGTGGGCGACACAGAAAGGTTCTTATTTTGAATTCAATGTTTTCATACTCACATTTCCAATTGCAATTTATCATGCAAGTACTACCTTTAATAATCGTTAAATCTGCTATATAATGGAAAATAAGTTATCGTGTGCTCTGAATAATTATTTTTAAACCTTTTATGGATTTGCATACAAAACAGTAGAATAGAATTCATAAAAAACCGTGGAATGCAACGTCTAAAACTTGGTGAAGGTGATGGTGATTTCTAATAACGAATTATTATTCTATTGTATCGGCGACATTTTTGTTATAGAAATTTTCCTTATTGGTCATAATGGGTTTCTGTGAGGGCGTATCTTTCATGAGGATATTTGCTCTTAGAGCTATTTTATTACATCCGCAATAAAATTTCAGGAACCGACTGAGACTAAATTTCTTGTATCCATAAAATTTTGAGAGTTTTTTTCATTAGTATAACATGGTGTATGAAAAATAATGAATGAAATCGATTCACCTTAACCTCCATTACCACAAATATATGT